ATGCCGGGCACGGGGGCTCACACCTGTAATTCTAGCACTCTGGATGCTGAGGCAGGAGAATCACTTGAGGTCAGTTTGAGAACAGTCTGAGCAAGATTGAAGACCCGTCTCTACTAAAAATAGAAAAAATTAGTCAGGCGTGGTGATGCACACTTGTAGTCCCAGCTACTCGGGAGGCTGAGGCAGGAGGATGGCTTGAGCCAGGACTTTGAGGTTGCTGTGAGCTAGCCTGATACCATGGTACTCTAGCCTGGGTGACACAAGAGATAAAAGGAAGTTAGCAGCCAGAAGTTAAATTAGCAAAGAGACCAAGATTAAACACTCATGTCCTTGTACTACTTGTGACTTTGCTTAACTGTGCAAAGTACATTTTCATATTTTGAGGAATAAATGAGACCAAGATTAAACACTCATGTACTTGTACTATTTGGGACTTTGCTTAACTCTGCAAGGACATTTTCATATTTAGAGGAATAAGTTAGATTTAATAAATGATAATATTTTACCATATGGAAGAATAATTTGAAGAAATAATAAATCACATCTATTCTTTCTTTATTATTAAATCTTTTTTCTAAATAAAATACTTTAGAAAATTTAATCTATTGGAATTAAAAGCCTGTTGGATCACCTGAATGAAAATTACCATGTTTCTGTGATGTTAAAAGTCACAACATTAACCTTTGGATTAACTAAAGAGTGCTGAAATCCATGTGGATTTCTTAGCACTGTCTATATAAATGTTTTAGATTCCCAATATGCCCCTTCAGAACAATCCAAGGAACAGCCTTCCAAAGCATTCTGAATCCTTATGCAGAGGATCTGAGAGTGAGCTTCTGTCACTTCCAGACAAACGGTTTTGATTTCTGGGGTATCCCTCCAAGCAGACCAAGTGTACATGCATATATAGCTTCATGATTTACAACATACAATGATTGACCAGAATCGACGGGAAAAACATGTGTGCCTAGAAAGTCTCCCCAATGCACAGGCTTGAGTTACTTCTTTTATACATGCATCTTATGCTTTCCTTTGAGGGTTTCATTAATGGTCCATGGCTCAAACCCCTGGCTACACTTGTCCAGGCCTTCCTTCAAGGTGGAACTAATTAGACCACGTCTAGTTACTGTTACTTCATTTGCATATTTTTTTCCTCATAAGAATTGCGTTATGATTACCATAAGGAAGGCAGGGTCGCTGCGCGGTTCTGACAATTCTCTTTGTTTTGTCTCTCTTTTCCCTTCAGGTCAAGCTGACCTGCATAATTTCTCCTGGGCTTACTCTCTGAAAGCTTTGATTCCTTTTCTCCTTCCCATATAATAGATTTCCCTTTCTTGTTCATATGTACAAATTAAATCAAAGTCTATAACAATAAGTTTCAGCCAGGTTGGAGAACTACTGATATAAATAGTAAAACCTTTAGGTTTAAAATCAAACCACAAACAAACAAAAAAGTCCTATAAATACTTCTAAATAATTTAGGGAACAGAATAACATAAACTTAACTATAATTATATGCCTGTGACACAAACATTTTGTTTTATGTTTCTTCCCAAGGTTTTATATACTTAGGATCTGTTACTATCACAACCACACTGCTACATCACACACTTTTAAGATGCATCTGAGAAAGCTTAGAATAGCCTAAAAACTCTTATCTCAGCTTCTTTGCTCTTTTCTTCCAACATATCCATGGCAGCATCCTTCACCTTGTTTCCATTTTTTTTTCTCATCATTCCTGTCTCTAACAATGCCACCATCCCTTTCTTCACCTAGACTAAGTCCTTGCTTCCATTAATGAATCACTGTTCTAGGTCCATTAGGAGGCTGGATGCTCTTCTGACCACAGCATCTCATCTTCTTTCCCCATGAGATTTTCTGTCACTAATATTATAAGTTGTTATAATGCTAAGCATGGCTCGATACAACACACCCACTTTGAAACTCTCTGCTTAACAGTGTTTGTGGAGTTGAGTTATGACTTCTTTCTAGCCAAAGAGAGACCAAGTTTGTTTTTCTGTGCATTCTAACAGGATTTTTATTCACTTCCTAGATCTTGTTACCCTAAGTACTATTCATGTTGAGTCATTGCCTATTGTTTCCTTCCTCCCCTTTTTACCACTTGCACAACATAATCTCTCTAAATCCTTCCTTCTTAGCACCAGCTCTAAAGTAATATCCAACAAGTATCCCTTGCCTTGTCTGAAAATCTTCCTAAGCCTGGTTTCATTAAAACTCACTGTGGGTTTGTGTTCTGCATCCCAAATAAGCTTCCTTCCAATTCTTTTCATGAAAAAACTCTCACTATGTCAATTGCTAAACATCTCTATATAATAAAAATGTGGAAGGCCACATGTTGCTTCGTGAATTGACGAATGTAAAAATACAAATTGCCCACATGTTTCCCAAAGCCACTCATAGAATAATGTCCTACTGGAACACTGAATTTGAGAATGAAGTTATTCAATTGTGTAACTTTGGTGGTGGTTTGTCTATGCTGTTGCTTATATTATTATATGCTATAAAGCCAAGAAATTCCCATTACAAGAAATTTCAGGAGTGCAACATAAGACATATAAAGGGATGCTGGCAAACTATGCCTTCAAGACATTTCATTTCACTTCTATGGTTGACTCTTCAGAATTTTTTTAGTTGATCAGAGTAATATACTAAAGCAATCATGGTTTTCACTTTAAGAAAAAAAGAAATACTGTGCTACTGTCCCCAACCCTGAAGGTTAACTGAGAGCAGATGTGTGCTCCAGCATAGGAACCAGGAATACGTACCTTACAGACTTTGTATTCATGAAGCAGGAGAAGAAAATGGGATCCACGAAGTTAAAGTCAGGCCATAGTCACAGGGAAAGGGAAAGAAACGTGCATTTATTGAGTACCTACTATGCGCCAGTGCTTACACATTAAATCCCACTTAATCCTTGGAAAAATATTGAGATATTATTAGCTTCCTTAATCCTCAGAGAGAAGCATTCCAGAGGGGATGCTGAAGGTGGGAGAGGAGGACACAGCCTAAGTTAGAAACTTGCTTTTCTTTCTCTGCTGCACGGACAGTATTTAAGCGCACAGGCTCTGAAATCAGGCCGTCTTTCGATACAGACTCTGCCACCTAGAAGCCATGTGACTTTTACTGGTCCATGTGGGCATCAGCAACACTCCACACACCCTAAGGTAGATCTCTTTCCCTGAGAGGTTTCAATGTCTCATCTACCTGCAAAGGCTCCCGGCAGCCTCAGATGCATATTATATGTATATATCTCCTCTGTTCCTGCTCCTGTTTGTTGTCCCATGGACTGCACTTTCAAAACACAGTTCAAAGTACTAAGAATTTCAAGACAGTGACAGCAGAGCATTAAACCAAGTAACAGGGACCTTCTGAACTCAGAGCCCCCTGCAACAGCACAGGTTGCATGCCCTGGCCCTCCTAGAGTTACTAATATTGGCTGGTCCTCATTAAAAAATAGCTGGGGAGCTTATTAAAAAAATATTTCCTGCAAGCCATGTGTGGCAGCTTACACTTATAATCCCAGTGACTTGAGAGGCAAAGGCAGGAGGATTGCTTGAGCCCAAGAGTTCAAGACCAGCCTGAGCAATATAGCAAGACCCCATCTCAAAACAAACCAAACAAATTTCCTGGATCTA